AAAAAAGATGAAAGTATTCTACAAACTATAGTATCAGTCAGGTGCGTGGTGATGATATATGGACAGTTTTGTCTCCAGTATATCATGTGGTATAAATGTGGCCTGAAAGCTTGTCATCTTCTCTAGTATTTTTGAACTTTGAATTTTATTTTAGAAAGTCACCATAACAATGATCCTATAGTGAATCAAAAGATATATTGCTTTGTAATGAGTCAGTGAAGAAAGTGGTGCCCTGTGTGTTAGGATGACTTTTGGTTTGAAATTATTGCTCCAACTTTATAGAATTATGGAGTCTGGGTATGTGTCAAAATACCAACATTAATGCTGATATGTGCCTAGTCAGCTTTTTTTGTTATTGTAACAAAATACCCACATAATCAACTTAAAGGAGGACGTGTTTGTTTTGGCTCATGGTTTCAAAAATTTCAGTGCGTTTGCAATGACAAGCAGAAACACTGAAATGACACCCAGGATTTGCAGGCAGATTAATTTACATCAATGGGCTTTGATCAGGATCACTACTGAAATAGCAAGCCCTGATTGCTGGTGGTCTAGGGCTTACATAAGATAAACAAGCAGGAAGTAGAGAGGCAGAATGTCCTGTCAGTTGGGGATTGGTTTATACAATGTGCATCACAGTGACCAGCTGTTTCGCAGAGACAGAAGCAACTGGATCTGGAACATGAACTATTACCTGGGCAACTAATTATACTGGCTGGGGGAGAGACATTTTCTGTTACACTTCATGGCAGGAGTGCGTGGCAGGGAAGATCTTTTCACCTCAGGGGTGGCCAGGAAGCTGAGAGAGACAGACAGAAAAGGGTGGGGCCCCAATATCTCCTTCAAGAGCACACTCTGATGATGTAACTTCCTCTCACTAGGCCTCACCTCTCAAAGGTTCTTCCACCTCCCAGTAGTGACATAGGCTGTGGACCACCTGGGCCACATTCTCTTTAAGCTTGATACTCAGTGGTATTGGAAGAGTCCTGTTCCTGACAGGCTTTTGGTCTGAGGACCTAGGTCCTTGCTGCTCACAGGAAAGACTGTGAGACAGTCTTTCCTCAGTTGCTTGTCTTAGGGTCTCTCTTAGGGCAACTTCCAGCAGAGCGAGCAAGTGATGGAAGCTGGAGTGATTTTATAACCTAGTCTCAGGAGGGATGTACCTTATGTTTGCTGTATCTTATTCATTGGAATCAAGTTACTAAATCTGTGCTATGCCCAAGGGGAGGGGATTATGCAAGGGTAGGAATTCAAAGGGGAGAGCTTTGGAAGCTGCCTTCTACAGGATGGCTCCATATCCTTTTGAAATTGACTGCAGAAAGGGTGCTTTGGTGCAAACTGGTGGGAAATTCTGGTATATAACTCAGCGGCACAGCACCTGCCTGGCAAGCAGCAGGTCCTGAATTTGATTCCCAGTCTCCCCTCACCCCCCCCAAAAAAGGAAAAGTCCTTCTTGTTACCATCAGAAACCCAACCAGAAGTTGGATGATGTCTTAAGCAGACTGGTTATGGTAATAAGATTATCACTGCCTTGACTGTTTAATTGTGAGTTTTTTGTTTTGTTTTGGGGGTGCTGGGGATTGAACCCAGGACTTCATGCATGCTAGGCAAGTGTTCTACTGCAAAGCTGTACTCCTAACCCTGAGCTATTTTAAACTAAGGTTTCCATTCTTCTATCATTTACAATAACACTAAATGAACTTTTAATTTTTTCTTTTCAGATATCCCTGGGAGCTAGCTTTCTAGTTTTGTTGCTTTGGAAATTTTGCTGAAATGGGGCAGTTTTCAGACAAGTGTGCTTGCTACTCATGCAATCTCTGAGAAGTCCTCTCGATGGCCAGAAAGTCCAGTGTTTTGGAAAAATTACTCCTTTAATTTAAAGAATTAGTACCACTGAGTAGATTTCTTACTAATCTGAGTACAATATATTTGAATAATGTAAATGACTCTGTTTTAAGAAATTCAGTTCTTTAGTTTCTGAGGACAGTTGTGCAAAAAACTGGTACTAGAGCTCTCTTTGGAAAACTGCAGGTTTTGGGACTGAATCCACCTGGAGGTGTTTGAAGGTCAAAACACAGGAGAGGGAGTCTTGGCAAGAAATGGAGAGGGCGTTTGCGGATTGCTGTTGAGCAAGTGGTTATGAATGGGGCTGCTATTGTGTCTCCCAAGGAAAGTTCTTGTAATCTTATATTCCTTTTTTAAGGAAAGAGAAAATGCATACTGATCTTCTGCTGTGCTTACTTTTTCTGTCCTAACTTTGAAAATAAACACAGCAGAAAATCCTTCCCTTGGTGATGGGCTTGTCTAGAAATATTATCTTTAAAGAGCTCTTTATGTGAACCAAACTGTTCTTTGTATGAGTGCGCCTGGGACACTTTTGTAGTGCCCTGGAAAGAAAACAAAACATGGGTGTGATTGCCTTTGTGTCCATGTTTCCAACTCGGATACCGAAAGGACACTGTGATTAAATCGAGTCTGAAGCTCGGACCTCGCTTAATAGAGAGTGGGAGAATCAGGTTTGAAAGAAGAAATGCTTCAAATGTTTAAGCAAGGGAAAGCCACAAGTGTGGCTTGGCTTTATGATGAATAGTTGTGTTTATTTTTTAAAAACCAAAAGGAAATGTATGCCTGGGGGCTTGCAGAGTCCACTAGATTTCCTCTTTCGGCTCTACCTCACTGTCTTCCTTCCTGGCTATTACACGTGGCTGTGCTCAGAAGCAGCGCTGATAACACACAGACTTGGGAGGGAAGCCTCTTTCTCAGTAACCAATGCATTAAGAGACCTAAAATGCGTGCTACATTTTAAGGAATTTCTTAATCATATTTTCAAAACATAAACAGCATTTATGTTTCCATGGTAACTGCATTATTTCTCCCGTCCTCACCTCCATTGTCCAGGGGCAGTCAGATGAAGAGCCGGTTGCTCTGTGCAGCCGCTGGTAAGACGGGGTGT